TGTATGTATGTATGTATGTATGTATGTATGTATGTGTATGTATGTATGTATGTGTGTGTGTATGTATGTATGTATGTATGTATGTATGTATGTATGTATGTGTATGTGTGTATGTATGTGTGTGTGTGTGTGTATGTATGTATGTATGTATGTATGTATGTATGCGTGTATGTATGTATGTATGTATGTATGTATGTATGTATGTATGTGTGGATTTGTTTTTGTGTATATGTGTGTATATTTCTGCATAATGACAGGTAGCCACTCCAAATTTGATTTTAAAAAAAAAGTGAACCACATGATAAGTGAACCAAGTGATTATGTAAAACAGTTGGGGCAGGACTCTATATGTTTTTTAAACTTCACCCTCCTCCTTCTGAGCACCAGGTCCCAAATATGCTCATGTATATATCCCTGTTTTTGTTATTGTTTTTTGAATTTTGTTGTACTTGACTCAAACAAATAAATGAATGAATGAATGAACAGACCAGGCCTCATGTGGAAGCTCAGAACCTCCAGAATCCCCTCAGATCAGAGAGAGACATTTTAGGTTTAACTTAAGCTGAGACAGGTGGAATTTGCTGTCTAAATGTCAGATTTCAGATTAGTTGACCCAGTTTATGTTTCATATCTGTGTCAATCTTTGGCCTATCCACAGAGTTCAACGTCTTCTCGATCAGTGTAAATGAAATAAAGTTTATAAGATTAATAAGACAAATTAGTGGAGCCCAAAAACTAAAATAGCTGTGTGTGGAAAAAGGCCCGTCATACATATGTGATGATTTTCTGATCTTAAAAATGGAAACTAAAAAGGGGAAGTCACATACTGGCAACTCCAATTTTTATTTGAACTAATTATACTAGAAAAAAACGCAATTATGTACGGGAAATTTACGAATAATGACCCCCAAAGCAGTCCTGTCTCCATGGAAATGTTACTGTTTTGACTATAATTTTTCTGAGTTTGGCTTTATATGTGTCTGTCTCCATGGCGATGAGCAGGTGTAGATGGTATGACGTGTGTGTGTGTGTGTTCACTGGTCACTGTGGTTTGTGTGTTTCCAAATTGTCGCCTTGTTACTGGCACAATTTTACTAAAGATTTAGAGAGAGTGACTTTTCTACTCTGGGTCCATCACCTGCTTGTTACATAGAGATTTGCGTTGCTTAGAATGTTCCACAGTATGGCATTAAACTTACCTTGCATTATTAAACCCAGCTCACTAGGGTCAGGGAAGTAACAAAAAACAAGGTGAAAAGTAAGAATTTAATGAAAAGAAAATGAAAATAACAAAAAATAGTCTAAAATATGTACACAAAATAACCTAAACTAACAAACAAAATAACATGATTAACAAAAAATAAGAGTGACTAACCTAAGGCACACATAAAACAAAACTACATCACGAGTGTCCCAAAATAAAGTCACATAAACTCACAAACAGAATCGAATGACGACTAAAAAGACACAAAAAGACACGTTCTGTTCACATTTGAAAACATTTGTGTGAAGTGTGAGCAGGGTCTCCACAGATCTGACCTGTAACTTGGCCTGGAGGTGTTATCTGCTTATCTGAAGGCTCTGGAGATACAGGGTCAGATGTTCAGATGTTCAGAAGTCAAACGTTTGGACACACCTTCTTCTTATTCAGTGTTTTTTTTTCTTTATATTTGCCACTTTCTGTGTTTTATATTGATACAGAGGACATCACATATATGAAAGATGTATGGGATTATTTCATAAAGAGAAAAAAAGTATAACTCAACTAAATATTTGTTATAACATATAGTGAAGATGAACAAGCTTGTAATGTAAAAACTTACTGTGATAAAGTAAAAACTGCTCAAAAAGTCCTTGATGATCACAAAAAATAATTGAATAATAACATGAGACCAGTAATAATAACAGAGATATGAACCATAAACCAGGTCAACACATTTTTAATCTGACGCTTACAAACAAACTCCACCTGAGAATTCTCACCTGTCTCAACTCTGTTTAAACCTAAAAGTCTTCTCTCTGATAAAACTAAAAGATAAAAGTGTAAAAGTATAACTTAACTAAATGTTTTATAACACATAGTGAAGGTCACCAAGCTTGTAATGTAAACATTTACTGTGATAAAGTAAAAAGTGGCCAAAAAATCCAAGGCACCTTGTTGGAATAAGCATAAAAGTCCTTTAATAATTCCCCCCATGTGATAATTAAAGGACTTTTATGATAATCCCAACGGAGTGCCTCATCCAAACCTCTTCTCTTTTGTTTGTTAAGTGTAAAATCCGCCCTCAGATGAGAGCAGCCAATAGGACACAGTCTCTGTCCTCCTCACTCACACAGGATCGATGCTTCTGCCTTGGCATCTTGGATCTTTGTTGTGAAATTTCTTCCTGCCAATTTGACACTCTGAATAGTCTCTATTCACTCTTATGTCACAAACCAGGAAGATGTTTGGAAACATGCGATGACAACTTCCTTTGGGCTCTGTTCACAGTAGTTACCCTGCGTTTGATTATCTTTCCAAATTGGTTTTCCGAGGAAGTTGCCTAGCAACACGTATGACATGCCTCTTTTCGTGGGACAGCCCGATTCGGAACTCGGTGGCAGAAAAAGTTGACCGAGTAAGGATTCTGAGTCAGAATCCAAGTTGGCTGCGCCCACTGTGACGTGTGAATATGAAGTGTTTTCATTGTGTTTGGACACTGGTGGTTTAAATGACAGTTTCAGTCACTTGTATGTCTGCAGTACTTTACTACGCCCATATCACTGCCTGTGGGTTTGGTAGTCGGTGTTGTGAAGAGGCCAATATTTAACAAATACTTGATATAACAGCCATTAACGTCCCTAAGGTTGCAATGGAAGAGAAATCATAAAATGAAGTGCAAATTCCAAAAATTAAATGAATTAAAGTGTCAGTGTTTTCATAAGACGAGGGAATAGTCATAATCATAATCCATGAAGTCCAACACACGAAACATAATAATCCGCTTCAAACTCAGACATGAAGCCAAATCCAACGTCCAAGTGGGAGATTGGGAAGATAACCGAATGCAGGATGAGTCTGACCAAATCTAGGAAAAATTATAAAATGTCCCAGTTTTCTTCATCTCCATGTCATTGTAGTGTTCTGTTTTATTCGGCTCTTCAACAATTCCAACCACATCTCAGTTTTCATCATTTCGCTGACACACAACTCCGAGCGCACTGGCACATGTGATTAGAAGAGACGAGACCAAATTCCAGATCAATTCCAATTCCAAACAGCACATACGTCTGCAGTCCTAATTTTACCTGATCACATTTACTTCAGTGGGTTTGATCACAGTTGATCGGTGAGTCCAGTGTCAGGAACTACACCAGAAGTTGTCATCACATATTTCCAGACATCTTCCTGGTTTGAGATGTAAGCGTGAATAGAGATTGTACTGACTGTTGAATTTGAGGGCTTTACAATATAAAAGGTGAAGATTTTTATTCTGAATTTGACACATATTGAAAAAAATATACTTAAAAATTGAGAAAAGTGAAAAGAAAAAAAGTGAGAAATTCAGCGGCTTTTAAAATTCTAAAATCTGATGAAATAAATGATTTTTCATCCTCATCCTTGAGGAGCACCTGTTCTGGACTTCTACTTTGATACCCTGCCTCTGTGTTTTTTAAATAGTTTTTTGTATTTTATTTTCAAAAGTATTTAAACATTTCCCTGGTGTATTTGTTCTCTATCTCACAGTTTCACTTGTGATTATTTGTGTGTGTCTGTGGTGAATGTGATAATAAGCTCATACATCATCTCATTTCACAAGTTCTCCTCCTCTTCCTCCTCCTCCTCTGCATTCTCAATCGTCCATGTTTGACACACGTCTTACTCAAGCGGCTGTCTCCATGACGACCTCCGACCGCACTCTCACTTCCTGTCGGGTGGAGGCAGCATGTGTGTCACTTCCTGTCCTCTGTGCGTCTCCTCTGAATCTGATGAAACATGGGCAGATGTCATGGAAACATAAACGTAAAGCTGGTGAGGGGTCTAGAGCAGCTTGTTGAATGTTCCACAATATGGCATCAGTCTTCTTTAACTTGCATTTACTCAGTTACTGGTGTGTTTATTACTCCGAGATCTTACTTTGAGTGGGCACGTCTCTCCACAGATATTTGTGTCACGGACTTTATTATCAAACTGTGGAACCTTCTAGGCCAAGCAAAAACGTCTCTGTGGCGACAAGACTGATAAGTTCCACCAGTTAAGTAACGTAGTAAGCTTTAATACCAAACTGTGGAGCCTTCCAGGCGAATGAATAACTATAATATCTCCATGGGAACAAGACATTGCCATACTCTGTACCAGAAAAGTTACATAGTGTGGATTTCAGTTAATTTGGCAGTTAATGGAAAAGATAGATGATACATAATTTAGCTTGGAAAAAAACAAAAAACAAGATATTTATTTATGTATTTTTCTAGAAAAAATATGTTGTCATTTTATTATTATTATTATTATTATTATTATTATTAATAATAATAATAATAATAATAATAATAATAATAATAATAATAATAATAATAAATAAATATTTTTTTACTATTGATTTATGTAAAATATTTTTTGTGGCTTTATGTTCTGCCCTTGTATTAAAAAAGGGGGGTAGAATCTGCACATGTATTTTTATTGTATTATTTTCATTTTGCTATTTTACTTATTTTACAATTTTTTTATTTCTATTTTATTGTTTCTTATTTTTGTATTTTTAATTTATACTTTATTTTATAATTTTTTATTTTATAATTTTTGTTTTTATTAGTATTTTTTATTTTACTATTTTAAATTTCTGTTTTATTTTATTATTTTAAATGTTTTTTAATATTATTTTTCCTTTTCTTTTCTATTTCATTTTTGTTTTATTTTATTTTTATTTTTTTTATTTAACTATTTTTCATTTTTATTTTATGAATTCATGCAGCTGTATTTTTTGTGGTTGAATATTTTGTGTCTGTCTGTGTGGTGGCAGGTTCGAGAAGGGTCGTATCTACTCGTTCATCGGGGAGGTGGTGGTGTCGGTGAATCCGTACAGACAGATGGACATTTACGGCGCCGACACCATCGCCGCCTACAGAGGCCGAGAACTGTACGAGAACCCGCCCCACCTCTACTCCGTGTCCGACGCCGCCTACAAGGCCATGAAGAGGAGGGCCAAGGACACGTGCATCGTTATATCAGGTAATAGACCGCACCGAAAATATATCAGGTAATAAACTGTACCAAAAACATATCAGGGAATAGACCGCACCGAAAATATATCAGGTAATAAACTGTACCAAAAACATATCAGGGAATAGACCGCACCGAAAATATATCAGGTTATAGACTGTACCATAAACATATCAGGTATTAGACTATACTGTAAACATTATCAGATATTAGACAGTACCATAAACATTTTAAGTAATAGGTCGCACCAAAAATATATCAGGTAATGAACTGCACCAAAAACATGCCAGGTAATAGACCAAACCAAAACATATCTGGTATTAGACTGGGTTACACCCTTATCATCAGTAGGCCCACTAGTCAGAAAGCCCACTAGTCAGAAAGCCCACTAGTCTGAGAAGGCCCTGTAGTGAGAAGGTCCACTAGTCAGAAAATCATTCCCTCTTCTATTGGTTTGTCAGCAACATTTCTCTTGAACAATTGAATGTACATTTGATGAAAGCAACAGGGAATAATCCCTGGATATCAGGGACGAATTAGTAAACTTTTGGATGTTTACCAATTAAAAATGGCTGCAACATCAACATTGTTAGAGATAGCGACAGGAAATCGCGTAATCATGCATAACAGCATTAGCTAAGGCCAACATTACTTAATTTGTTGGTTTACAAACCCACCAATGCTATATTAAAAGAAAAAGATTTAAAATAAAATTGAAATGAAGGTTGTAGAGCTCGAATTACTGAACATTTTGCAAGTTGTTGCCTGAAAATCAGACAATTATTAACCCTGTTACACTTAAGACAGCCATTTCCACCCAAATCATTATTTCCTCAAACATTTTTGCTGTATTTTAAGGGTTTAATATATTTATTACTTTTAATATTTAATTTTTAAAATATTTAAAACTTGAAATACAGTTTCATTTTTAACAATTTGTAACACGACCTGAACATGAATGTTCTGACTAGTGGCTCTTCTGATGAGGCTGACCCCGTTAGACTGCACCAGTGTGGAATACTTTACAGTGACGTCATGCTGTGGGGAAATGCATATATGTCTATGGTGGAATGTTAAGCAGTTTTATAAAATTCAAGAAACATGGATTTAAACAGCACAGTTCCTGTTCCTGTTCAGGAGTTTGATTTTCTACAAAAAGGTGAAAGTGACTCACTGAAAAACTGTGTGCTAATGTTAATGCTAATGCTAGTTAGCTTGTGAGTGAGAGAAGTGTTTAACAGCACAGATCTGCTCACCTGTCGTAGTTCAGATAAATCACTGCTCTATAGTCAGGTCGTGTCAAAACAAAGCTCAGATTAAGTCTAATTTGAGTAACGGAGCTTCAGACATTCAGACAGAGCAGCTCCTCTAGTTAGCCCCCCTCCTCCTCCAGGGACATCAGCTGCAGATTGATATAACTCTGTGGGAGATTCACAGTTTTTTTAAGAAATCTCCAAACTTCTGATCCTCTTATGTTTCTTCTTCTCATTATTCGTTTGGGATCGGCTCCACAAACTTGTCTGCATCACTGTCTGCTTCTGTGTGCTATTTTTATGCTTTTTGTTTTGTTCTTTGCGGCCTGTACAGCACTTTGTAAACCTTGTTTTTAAAAGTGCTTCACAAATGAAGATTTATGATCATTATAAGAATATCATGGCTTATTAAAGTCTTTTCAGCTGACAACAATGACATCCTTGGGCTTGAATAATGACTCTCTCTTTTGTTTATTTATACTGAAAGGGAAGATGCTGAACTTTGTGCCTGTTTTGGTTTCATGCGCATAGGCCCAGAGATATGAACCATAAACCAAGTCACACATCTGCGTCTGACACTTACACAGCGTAAAAGTGTATCAGTAATCTTAGTTGAGTAAAAGTTGTGCTTCCTCTTCCCGCTCAGAGTAAGACAAAAGTAACAAAAACTTTATGTTGACCAGATTTTTGTGACTTCAAATTTTAATCAGATGTTACATTTGATGGTTAATCAGACTTTTTATAATTTCTGTGTTTCCAGGAGAGAGCGGAGCTGGAAAAACCGAGGCCAGTAAATACATCATGCAATACATTGCCGCCATCACCAACCCCAACATGAGAGAGGAGGTGGAGAGGTAGGGCATCTGGGTTAAATAAACATGTCTATCTCATCAGTACATGTGCCAATACACGCATCAAGAATCTCAGACTTCCGGTCATTGCACAATTCAAACTGGGAAGGATTTTCTGGAAAAGTGAGCATCAAACCTCCATGTTTGTTTTCCCAGTGGGATGAGTCTATTGACAAAGTCGATCTTTTCAAGTCTTTTGATCCATATCACTTTTATTTCTGGTTCTGTCATATTTTAGTTTTGGGATTTGGACATTGTTAATTGTGTGGTTGTTGGATCCTAACAGCAGAAAACGGCTCGAGAAATTTGTTTGCAAACTCCATAAATGCAAAAGGGAATTAGATGTGTGTGACTCAAACCTCTGTTCAAACTGTTTCTCTTCCCATCGGAATTGAAAAACAGTGAAAGGCGAAGGCGATAGGCGATAGTGAACATTTTGTATGTGGAGCGACATCAAAGTGGGATCCCATTTGTTAAGTGAGAGGTGCAGAAGACAAACAGGCTGAGCTGCACTTTCTTGTTCTTGTGGTTTTACAGCAACATCACGTCTTGGTCTTTTTGCAGTGGAAGGTGTTTTTTGGTGAACAGTTGGTGCCTCTCGCTTTGGCGTTGACTTTTTAAATTCATAACCAAGGTTGAGTGAGGGATCGGGGTTTTGCTTTGATGGTTCCATGTTACAAATGTTCGCTGCAAACTCTGGGTGATTTAGTCAGTCAAATGTTTCCTTTTTGGTCCTGTCCCGTGGATCAATCCTGCGCATCGCCTTCACCTTTCACTATTTTTCAATTCCGATGGGAAGGGAAATTGTTTGAACAGAGGTTTGAGTCACACACATCTGATTCCCTTTTGCATTTATGGAGTTCGCAAACCAATTTCTCGAGCCGTTTTCTGCTGTTAGGATCCAACAACCACACAATTAACAATGTCCAAATCCCAAAGCTAAAATATGACAATATCAGAAACAGAAACAAAAGTGATATGGTTCAAAAGACTTGAAAAGATCAACTTTGTCAATAGACACATCCCACTGGGAAAACAAACATGGAGGTTTGATGCTCACTTTTTCAGAAAATCCTTCCCAGTATGAATTGTGCAATGACCGGAAGTCTGAGATTCTTGATGCTTGTATTGTGAACTCAACCTGCAGCAAGAAGAATCTTTAATTGAACCCTACATGTATGATCCAGAGACTGAATTTTTTCAATAATCACAAGTAAGAACAGAGCAGTGGGCGGAGATAGGTGGTGGGTGAAAACAGGACTCTTCTCAGCATTCAAATCTCAAAAGGACAATACGAACATGTATGAATCACTCAAAATACAACTTAGAGTAAGATAATGATGAGAGAACAAAGAGGTCGAGAGGTAGGGCATCTCAGTTAATTGACCTCATGTTTTGTCCGTGTTCTAACATATTTTCCTCCCTGTTTTTTTATGTTTATTTATTTTTTTGTTTTTTTTCCCAGTGTGAAGAACGTTCTGCTGAAGTCCAACTGCGTCCTAGAAGCTTTTGGAAACGCCAAAACGAACCGAAACGATAACTCCAGTCGCTTCGGCAAATACATGGACGTGAACTTTAACTTCAACGGAGACCCGACTGGAGGACACATCAACAACTACCTGCTCGAGAAGGTACTCCAAGTATACAAAACGATCTAATACAAGTACACATCAATGACTACCTGCTCGAGAAGGTACTGTAAGTATACAAAACGATCTAATACAAGTACACATCAACAACTACCTGCTCGAGAAGGCACTCCAAGTATACAAAATAATCTCAAATAAGTACACATGGACAACTACCTTCTCGAGAAGGTACTACAAGGACTACAAATACTACAAGTTGTTGTACAGTTGTAGGGAGTATTATCTGTTACTAGGGATGGGCATGATTAATCGATTAATCGATAATTGATCATTAAGAATTTCATCGATTACGTTAATTTTAATCAACAAACAGAATGTAGGTTGCTGTGTGTATCGTGACCAAACAGGTCTGTACATTTGTCTCTCTGCACTCAGAAGGAGCGAGACACAAACAGTGGGTCAGTCTGCAACGTACCGAAGTGCAAATGTGTATTTAACGATGATTTGTACAAGAAATTCCACGCTTTCCGTTGCGTTCGGGACAAGTGTGAGTCCATGTGCACAGTGTATAAAGCAGCACATATGTTTCTGTGTCCAGTGGGAAAAAGCTTTGCCAGGTGAGAGTCGCGCAATGTCGATGACGAGTCCCCACCTCCCTCCCCCCGTACGGTGTCCTGGTTTTGACAAACGCAAATCTGGTCACACTAACCTGTATTCACCTGAGTCATGTCTTTTAATCCGATAGAAGTTGACCACATCAGTGACACAAGAGCTGTAGTTTTATCTTCACTTAGTTTATGCAAATTAGCGATGAGGTTTTAAGTTTTGTTTCTGTGAGATTTGAACAAAACTGAATTAAACACATTCTAATGTCAAACGGGCTGATGTGGCTCTAGAGTGGTTACAGTTTATATGTCGTAAAGTTGAATTTATTTATGCAGATTAGTGCAGATAGTAATAATAATGATGATCATTTTAATATAAAAACGTTAATGATTAATCGATAATCGATCGTTAATTCTTCCGATGATCGATTAAGAAAATTTCATCGAATGCCCATCCCTAACTGTTACATAAGGGTAAGTTGTACAGTTGTAGGGAGTATTATCTGTTACATACAGTAAGGGCGAGTTGTTGTACAGTTGTAGGGAGTATTATCACATAAGGGTGAGTTGTTGTACAGTTGTAGGGAGTATTATCACATAAGGGTGAGTTGTTGTACAGTTGTAGGGAGTATTATCACATAAGGGTGAGTTGTCCTGACAAGTTGAACCCAGAGACACTGAAGGATGGGTCGATCTTTAAAGTTTACTTTTGTGTTTCTAAATTCTACACTTCTTGGTTTTCTATTTTGAGCTGAACTGAGAAGTGAAAAGAGTTATTTGAGCTCACATATTATTATAGAAATTATTTTTTGGACTGACTTTGAGAGGAAGAGTTGTTTCCTTATCAATAACATCTCTGGACCTGCAGTGTTGTCTTTATTTCCAAGAAGTGCTCCTCTGTTTTTAATTCAACTACACAGAGCTCATCAGTTATCAGCTCTGGGGCTACAGGTCAGTTTTTGAGGTGGTAATAACATTTCAACATGGCCATGAGTCCATTTTGTGCAATATGTGAGCTTTAAAGGAGCACTAAGCAACTTTTCAACTGTGGGATCTGCCAACTACGTGTCTCCATGTAGATGTTATTGCTTTGCTTGGAATGTCCTACAGTTTTCAGTACTTTCATTTATTTTGCATGTATTCAGTTTCCTTGTCCAGCATATAAATTAAAGACAGACATTCTTGCTTTTGAGCGGGGTCACCTCCCCACAGATGTGACCTGTAACTTGGGCTGGCAACGTCTTCTGCGTGTCTTTGAAGGCAAATAAATGACATTTGAAACATTGCATGAACTGTGAAGCATCAATAACCTGCATCAATGCCTGATGTGCACTGCTGTACACTCCCCACTACGGCCACCAGAGGGCGCTGTCCCTGTCTGTGTCCACTGGTTTCTTTGTTTGACCGTACACATGTTTCTGTTTCAGTCTCGAGTGGTTCAGCAGCAGAGAGGAGAGAGAAACTTCCACTCATTCTACCAGGTACACAGTCCAGATGTCACCTGCGAGCATGAAAGATCTGAATGTGCTGTAATGACTATATTTATTTTATTTTTTTGAAATATAAGGATTGTAGAACAGTTGGATATATAGTTTATTTTGGATACATTTATGTTTTTCTATGCCTTATTTCATGTTCAAAGTATGCTTTATACATTTCAAAACTGCTCGAAGGTTCATATTTACCTAGCCTATATTTATTGTTAATTTGAAAGTTTTGCATGAATTATCAATAATGTTTGTTTTTTTTATTGAGAGAGAGAGAAGTAAGTTTTATTTATCCAGCGCTTTTCCCAGACATTTGTCACAAAGACGCTTTACAGAGCATTATTTATTCACTCCATACCTGGTAGTGGTAGTTACTATTGTAGCCACAGCTGCCCTGGGGCAGACTGACTGAAGTGCGGCTGCCATGCCAATCGGTGCCATCAGTCCCTCAGACTACCAACATCACTCACACACACACCACTTTCATACTGGGTGAAGTGCCTTGCCTAAGGACACAACGGCCTGGCCCTGCTTAGCTTCAGAGATCTGACAGGAACAGGCTTTGACAAGCTATGGCTGAATAAATGTATAATGTAACTAAAAAATAATTGTTATGAATAATGATTTTTTTCCATAATTGAGCAGCTCTACATAGAAGTATTATTACAGTGAATCTGCTTAAGTGAAAATGCAGATTAATCTGTCCAGTCACTCCAATACTCCAGTAGGGCTGTGCAAAAACATCGAAATATCAATATATCGTATCATTTAATGTGATGATACAGTATCAATATTGTGGGCTGTGGTATCGATATATTGCCAAGAATATTTTTTTGGTATATTTTACTCTTTTAAAATTTTGTCACAGCTACAGTTTTGTTGCTTGATTAGAGGAAGGAAACTTGTTTATGCAACACATTTGACATATTCACAGTTTTGATGAGTAAAATGTTTGTGAACTTTGAGTAAGAAGTGCTTTAACAAAGACATTTAATATCACAGCCATGATTTAGCCTTTATTTTGTATCAAACCGTCTCAAATCAAAAGCTCACTGTATCGAGATATGTATTGTATCATGGCCTATGTATCAAGGTATGTATCGTATTGGCAACTTCTTAATGATACCCAGACAGATATTCCAGATCATTTAATTCATTCCATTTAACGATTAGATGCATACAGAGCCTTTGAAGACACCCAGAGCGAGAGAGAGACACACACACCTTAAATACTGAATAAAATAAAATTAAATTAAAATAAAAAAATGAGAAAAATCATGATTCAGATACAGTTACATATTGTTAATCCCAAATAGTAAAATAGAGAATGAACTTATTTTTGTTTTGGTTGAATGTCTCTAATTGTAGTTTACTGTCATTATATTTGTTTGTTCCCAGTTACTTCGAGGAGGTTCTGAGGAGATTCTTCAATATCTGCACCTCCAGAACGATCCTGCACTTTACACATACACCAGAGAGGGCGCTGCAGCCTCTGTGAGCATAAACCCACAGTATCATCATGTGTATTTATTCTGTCTAATACAAGATTATAATATCATGTGTTATCAAATACATACAGACTTCCAACAACGACCGGTCGAGCCACAAGGCGGTGCTGCACGCTCTGCAGGTGATCGGCTTCACGGAGGAAGAGGTCAGCTCCATCTATGAGATTCTGGCCACCATCCTGCTCCTGGTGAGGATCTAGTCTGATGTTTAGAGCTGAGAGATGAAGCGTGATCGAATCCAACTCACAATTTGAATGGACACAATTGTCAAATCACAAAGACTGCAGTTTTTTAAAGGTGCATTGTCTAACTTTTGTGGTGGAAGATTTGTCAAATGCTTTTGTCCATGGAGATGTTCTTGCTTTTCTGGACTGTTTCACAGTATGGTATTAAACCTTTCTATCTTCATGGAGACCAAACCAGACCAAGTTACAGGTCAGATCTGTGGAAAGGCGACCCTGTTCACAGTCAGAATGCCTGTTTTTGTTGATATTTTTGAGCTCTAAAACCACCTGTAATTTAATAAATGTAAATAAATGTAAGGTAGAGCTGTTTAAAGTCACACTATGGAACATTCCAGGCAGAGCAGTGGCATCTCCATAGAAACAAGAAGGTGACGGACCCCCAACCAAAAAGTTAATGCACCTTTAAGAACCATCATTTCCTCCACGAACAACTAAATCTTCTGTGTTATTCTACATAAAAGCCTTGTAGTTTAAACCTCTTCAAACATGTTGTGAAATGTCCCTGTGTGTCAGATGCCCTCCCTGTGTGTCCACGAGGTCTTATTCTACATAAAATCTGCTAACTCTGCTGTTTAGATCTGTACAAACATGTTCAGAAATGTGATTCTTGTATTAGTTTGTCACTTCAGATGTCAGTCTTTTTGCAGTACTAATGCAATGTCAGAGTTCTTTAAAGCCACTGATTTTCTGGTGGATGATACCTCACTGTTGTTGTCATAGAGATGTTATTGCTTTGCCTGAAATAGTCCACAGTATGACATTAAACATATCAATTTCGAATAGTTTCTATTGTAAAAAAAAAAAAAAATATAATATATATATATAATATATATATATATATATATATATATATATATATATATATATATATATATATATATGAATGAGTGGGGTTGCCTCTCCACAGATCGTAGTTATAAATTTGCCAGTTGGCGTCACCTGTTTCTCACCATAGGGATAGATAATTTTGAAGACATACTGTGGAACATTTCAGCCAAAACAATAACATCTTCATAGAGGCGAGCAGGTGGCAGACCCCTTCACCTGAAAAGTTACACAGTGTACCTTTAAGCTTAAAGCAGTAAATAAAGGTGATCTTATGATGAGCTTGATTATTGTGCGATTGAAAATGTGAAATATGACTCAGTATCTTGATTAAAGGTCACATTTGTGTCTCCAGGGTAACCTCCAGTTTGAGAGTGAGGCAGAGTCCGTCGAGGTCTCCCCTCCTGAGTCTTTGGTCCACATCTCGGCCCTGACTCACACAGACCCAGACTCTGTGAGGAGCAGCCTGCTGTGCCGCACTGTGGCCACAGGGGGCGGCGATGTCATCCAGAAGCAGCACTCTGCACAGGAGGCCTGCTTCGGAAGAGACGCCTTCGCAAAGGTCAGAAATATACAACAGCACCAAGGGCTAAAAGTGTCTGACTCAAAAAACATCATTTATTTATTTTATTATTTTACGTTTTCTTAACTACTTAAAGCCACATTATGTCACTTTGACTGGAATAAAAGCATGTTTTTGTCATTAATTCTTCCGTGAGTCTGCCCCAGGGCAGCTGTGGCTACAATAGTAGCTTCCCACCACTGAGTGTGGAGGGACTGAATAAATGAACTGTAAAGAGCTTTGGGTATCTTGAAAGGTGCTATATAAATGCAATCAATCAATCAATTATAGTTGTTTTTATTGCAGTGAAAAACATGTGTCCTTACTCTGAGCAGGCTCCACAAACATGACTCTTCTTTGACCTGGAGGACGGCCTAAACTTGAACTTACATGAATGAAGTTCATAATAGAAATATATTTGATCATCAACTAAAACAGTGTGGATTTAGTCCAGTACATGTTCATGACATTTATTCCATTCAATCTAAAACTAAAAAGATTTGGACTGAATTTTGAAAGAAATTTTTATTTTTATCACAAGACCGAAGCATAATCATGTTTTGTTTTCCTTTAGGCTTTATACGAGAGGCTGTTTGCGTGGATCGTCAGCCGCATCAACAGCATCATCGAGGTGAAAGACTATAACCCAGTGCTTCATGGGAAAAACACGGTCATCGGAGTCCTGGACATCTACGGCTTTGAGATCTTTGACAACAACAGGTGTGTGGTTTGATTTGACATGTCTCTGAGTTTCTATGAGGAGATGTTATGTGTCACTCCATGAGTTGTTTTTGTTTGTCTTTCAGTTTTGAGCAGTTCTGTATTAATTACTGCAATGAGAAGCTCCAGCACCTTTTCATCGAGCTGATCCTCCAGCAGGAGCAGGAGGAGTACGAGAGAGAGGGCATCGTCTGGGAACATGTGAGTGTGGAACCTGCTCTCCACACTGACCTGTGGAGCCCTCTGAACACAGTTCTACACCAGAGCCCAAGATGAATTCTCAAGAGTTTATGAACTCACAAATCATGAGAATTGATCAGGCTGGTAACGCTGGTGAATCTGGTGAAGCTGGTGAATCTGGTGAAGCTGGTGAATCTGGTGAAGCTGACCACTGAACCAAACTGTGCTACACTGGGCTATATGGTGTAAACTGTACCAAACTGTACTGTACCAAACTGTACCAAAGTGAACTAAAGCGTGCTTGTGTTGTGTGATCAGATCGATTACTGTGATAACCAGCCCATCGTGGACCTGGTGGAGCAGCAGCACAGAGGGATCATCTCCATCCTGGATGAGGCCTGTCTCAGTGTGGGACAAGTCACCGACACAGTCTGTCTCCAGAGCATGGACACCAAGCTCTCCCAGCACCCACACTACACCTCCAGACAGGTAACAGCACCCACGGGACCCACAGCACTCACACTACACCTCCAGACAGGTAACAGCACCCACGGGACCCACAGCACTCACACTACACCTCCAGACAGGTAACAGCACCCATGGGACCCACAGCACCCACACTGCACCTCCAGACAGGTAACAGCACCCACGGGACCCACAGCACCCTCAAAGCAGCACCCACACAGCCAGTGAGAGTAAGGAGACACAGAGAGAGAAGAGAGTGATGTGTTTTGTGTGTTTTCATTTGTTCTGTGTCCTTCCTGGTTTGTGCTGTGAGAGCTGGTCCCTGGTTGGTGGGGCTCCAGTCGTGCTGCACCTGCAGCCGCCTCACCCTGTTTAAGAAGATGTCCACACATATTCAGGCTGCTGGTCTTTGTGGGCCGTCTGCCATATTGTTATTGTGTCTCTTTTGTGTCAGTCACTTTGTTTTGTGTTACTACATGTCTGACTTTGTGTGTGTTGAGACTCAGTTTCTGTTAGTTTAGTTTAGTTACCTGGTCCCTGAAGGGTTGACCAGGTTTTGTATTCACCCTGTGTGTGTGTCTGTGTGTGTGTGTCTGTGTGTGTGTCTGTATGTGTGTGTGTGTCTGTGTGTGTCTGTGTGTGTGTGTCTGTGTGTGTCTGTGTGTGTGTGTGTGTGTGTGTCTGTGTGTGTGTGTGTGTGTCTGTATGTGTGTGTGTGTCTGTGTGTGTGTCTGTATGTGTGTGTGTGTCTGTGTGTGTGTGTGTGTCTGTGTGTCTGTGTGTGTCTGTGTGTGTGTCTGTATGTGTGTGTGTGTGTGTCTGTGTGTGTCTGTTGTGTGTGTCTGTGTGTGTGTGTGTGTCTGTGTGTGTCTGTGTGTGTGTCTGTATGTGTGTGTGTGTCTGTGTGTGTGTGTGTCTGTGTGTGTGTCTGTGTCTGTATGTGTGTGTGTGTCTGTGTGTGTGTATCTGTGTGTATGTGTGTGTGTGTTTGTGTGTCTACGTGTGTCTGTGTCTGTATGTGTGTGTGTGTCTGTGTGTGTGTATCTGTGTGTGTGTGTTTGTGTGTCTACGTGTGTCTGTGTTTGTGTGTGTGTGTGTGTCTGTCCACCTGTGATAATGCCACTATTTATGGATCAACTGTCACCAAATGTGGTACGTGGGTCAAGTCCTTTTGCCCGAGGATCGGCAATTTCGGCAATTTCTGAACCATCTGTGGCCTAAAATATTCACCCATCATCACACACGTTGGCACACACATAACCGGGGCACACTGGATGTTACAGGTTGAAACCGGTCAAGGTCACTTGAAGGTCAAAATAACCAAGGTCAAATATGTGTTTTTGGTCATAACTCCACGAAAGATCGAGCTAGAACAACGGGAGTGTCTCAAAATCTCAGAAACATTATGATCTATTTATAATTTGATGCATTTGTACAGTAAACTATGAATAGTTTTCCAGATAATCACTAATTGTAACAGTTCCTTCCTCTTTCAGTGTTGCCATTAAAATTGTAATTGGAACAAAACTAATTTCCATTTCTTGTTTTTCTGGTGAAACACAACACACTGATCTGCAGTCACACAACGAACACACACACAACTCATGAAAAATGACATTTTGGTTCCACACTAGTAAACACAAACATTCTCATGTGTGACCAATATCACACTAATGTTCATGGGCCTGTACACATACACACACTGTATTGAGGAATCCGCTTGTTCTGTTTTGTGTCTTTTTAGTTGTCACTCAATTCTGTTTGTGAGTTTACGTGACTTTATTTTGGGACACTTGTTAGTTTTATTTTATTTGTCCATTAGTTTAGTCACTCATTTTTTTGTTTAGACCTACGAGATCTGTTTTTTGACACACAACTTATTTGTTAATCTTGTTATTTTGTTTCTTAGTTTAGATTATTTTATGTACATATTTTAGCATGTTTTAATTTACCCTTTTACAGTCCTGTTTATTAAGTTATTACTTTATTTATACTTTTTTTTTTCCATCTTGGTTTTTGTTACCTCCCTGACCCAAGCCAAGCTGGATACTCATAAGTATAATTTAGTTTTGTAGATCCAAAATTTGAATTGATTATTATTATTATTATTTTTTTTTACTTATTTTAGAATTTACATTTACATACTCTTAGATCTAATAATATTCCTGTTTGGTCCAAATGAAGAAATCACTCGTATTGTTGCATGTGCTTGTTTTGTGTGTGTTTTGTTTGTTTTGTGTGAGAAACTCTTGACTACAGTTTGGTGCCACTAGAGGGCGGTGTGTCACAAGGATAAATTCTCCTCTGTGGTATACCTGCTGCAGTTCTCCATAAACTCCTCAATACTAATACACACATCAAGAATCTCAGACTTCCGGTCATGGCACAATGCATATAGGGAAGGATTTTCCGAAAAAGTGAGCATCAAACCTCCATGTTTGTTTTCCCAGTGGGATGTGTCTATTGACAAAGTCGATCTTTTCAAGTCTTTTGAACCATATCACTTTTGTTTCTGGTTCTGATATTGTCATATTTTAGCTTTGGGATTCGGACATCGTTAATTGTGTTGTTGTTGGATCCTAACAGCGGAAAACGGCTTGAGAAATTGGTTTGCGAACTCCATAAATGCAAAAGGGAATCAGATGTGTGTGACTGCAAACCTCTGTTCAAACTGTTTCTCTTCCCGACGGAATTGAAAAATAGTGAAAGGCGAAGGCGATGGGCAGTATCGATCCATGGGAAGGACGAAAAAGGTCATCTTTGACTGTCTATATCATCCCGAGTTTGCAGCGAACTTTTGGTATGTGGAGCAACAACAAAGCAAAACCCCGATCCCTCACTCAGCCTTGGTTACGAATTTAAAAAGCCAACGCCAAAGCGAGAGGCACCAACTGTTCACCAAAAAACACCTTCCACTGCAAAGAGACCAAGACGTGATGTTGCTGTAAAACCACAAGAACAAGAAAGTGTGAGCTCTGTCTGTTTGTCTTCTGCACCTCTCACTTAACAAACGGGATCCCGGCTTGTTGTCGCTCCACATACAAAATGTTCACTGCAAACTCGGGATGATTTAGGCAGTCAAATGTTTCCTTTTTCGTCTTTCCCGTGGCTCAATCCTGCCCTTCACCTTTCACTATTTTTCAATTCCGTTGGGAAGGGCAACAGTTTGAACAGAGGTTTGCAGTCACACACATCTGATTCCCTTTTGCATTTATGGAGTTCGCAAACCAATTTCTCGAGCCGTTTTTCGCTGTTAGGATCCAACAACCACACAATTAACAATGTCCGAATCCCAAAACTAAAATATGACAATATCAGAACCAGAAACAACAGTGATATGGTTCAAAAGACTTGAAAATATCAACTTTGTCAATAGACACATCCCACTGGGAAATTAAACATGGAGGTTTGATGCTCACTTTTTCAGAAAATCCTTCCCAACATGCATTGCGCCATGACCTGAAGTCTGAGATTCTTGATGCGTGTATTAAACTCCAACTGTCTGTGGTTTGTTTGCAGTAAAACATATGTATTTATTTATTATGTGTGTATTTGTGATGATTTATTTCTTTTTTTGCCAGCTGAACCCATCTGACAAGAGCATGGAGTTTCAGAAGCACTTCAGGATCCAACACTACGCAGGAGAAGTCACGTGAGTTTGTTTTTCAAAGACACAACAGACTTTTGGGCACGTTTCATGACAGAAAAATCTGGGTCAAAGGTCACAGGGCGGTCTCTTGGTTTCTTTATTTACTGCAGACAGATTTAGGAAGCTCCAAGTGCTCTTCTGTTTTCTGTGGACGATGTTTTAAATGTTTTAGACAGTGGGACTGGAAAAGTAATTCTATTATGAGTTTAGACCCTGAGACTTGTATAGACCTTCAGATGTCATGGATGGACTAAACCAGGACTAAACCAAGACTAAACCAGGACTGAACCAAGACTAAACCAGGACTAAACCAAGACTAAACCAGGACTGAACCAAGACTAAACCAGGACTGAACCAGGGAGTAAATCAGGAGTAAACCAGGGTTGAACCAGAGCTGAACTAGGACTAAACCAGGAAAAAAACAGGACTAGACCAAGGAGTAAACCCGGACTAAACCAGGACTAAAACAGATCCAAACCCGGACTAAACCGGGACTAAATCAGGTCCAAACCCGGACTAAACCAGGACTAAATCAGGTCCAAACCAGGACTAAACCATGACTGAACCGGGACTTAACCAGGACTAAACCAGGACTAAACCATCGAGTAAACCAGGATTGAACCAGGACTGAACCAGGACTAAATCAAGATGTAAACCAGGACTAAACCAGGGACTAAACCTGGTGAAAATCATGAGCTAAACCAGGACTAAACCAGGACTTAACCAGGAGTAAATTATGGGCTAAACTAGGACTAAACCAGGACTAATCCAGGACTGAACCAGGACTAGACCAGGGAGTAAATTAGGACTAAACCAGAGCTGAACCAGGACTAAACTTGGAAAAAAACAGGACTAGACCAAGGAGTTAACCAGGACTAAACCAGGACTAAACCAGGACATTGCCTTAAAGTTTGTCCTGACCCAAGACACGTGTCCATCTGTCCATTCCAACAAGCTAAACAAGATAAGTCAGCTCTGTTCTTTCCCTCTGTCTTACTTTAGTCTCTCTCTCTCATGCTGCTTTTTCTTTTCCTCCTCCCTCTCTCTCTCTCTATCTCCCTCTCTCCTTTTGTACCTGTCCTGGTTTATTCCCTGCCGTCTGAAACTTCTGTGCACACAGCACTTTAACCAGTGCAGTTATATAAACGTCCTCAATGCACTTCTCTTTACTTTTATCTCTCCTCCTCTGCTCTTCTGACCCTCTCCTCTGCTCCTCTCCTCTGCTCCTCTCCTCCTCTCCTCTACTCCTCTGACCCTCTCCTCTCCTCCTCTCCTCTCCTCTCCTCTGCTCCTCCTCTCCTCTCCTCCTCTCCTCTGACCCTCTCTTTCTCTGCTCCTCTCCTCCTCTCCTCTGCTCCTCTCCTCCTCTCCTCTCCTCCTCTCCTCTGCTCCTCCTCTCCTCTGCTCCTCTCCTCCTCTCCTCTCCTCTCTCTCCTCTGACCCTCTCCTCTGCTCCTCTCCTCTGACTCCTCTCCTCCTCTCTCCTCTCTCCTCTCCTCCTCCTCTCCTCTCCTCCTCCTCTCCTCTCCTCCTCTCCTCTCCTCCTCTCTCCTCTCTCCTCTCCTCTCCTCCTCTCTCTCTCCTCTCCTCCTCTCCTCTGCTCCTCTCCTCCTCTCTCCTCTCCTCCTCCCCTCTGCTCCTCTGACCTTCTCCCCTGCTGCTGTTTAATGTGTGTTACTTCCTGGTTACGTATCAGGCAGGTTTAGAATTGTTCGTCCTGGTGCTGTAATCCAGCCTGTCTCCTCTAACCTCTCTTGCTCTTACTGCCTGTCTTCTGTCCAATCAGATGGCAGTATTCTGGTCAGGTGACCACATCTGTCTGTGTCTACAGATGGGAATCAAACCAGACATCACGTGACTAAACAATGGAAAGATGAAAGTTAATAGCTCTGTGTTGTGAACCTGTCTGACCAAACCAAATCATGTTTCAGTGTTCTTAAATGGAACGTGCCAAAATCTCCTTGGCATGAGTGTTGGACACAGACTCCACACAGCCTCATTTGTGCTGAGAATGCTGACAAAGTACTCTACTCTGTCATATTATGTACTTTAAGTTACTTTTGTATGGATTATTAGGAATTCATTACTATCTTAATTTGGACATGTCTAAACCAAAATGCGATCATTTTATTGCACTGAACAATGTCCTCACTGAGAGCGAGCTCTCATCTCCACAAACCTGACTACTCCTGCTTGTCTGGAGACTAGGGACGGGCATTCGATGAAATTTTCTTAATCGATTGTCGGAAGAATTAACGATCGATTATCGATTAATCATTAACGTTTTTATATTAAAATGATCATCATTATTATTACTATCTGCACTAATCTGCAGAAATAAATTCAACTTTTCCACATATAAACCGTAACCACTCTAGAGCCACATCAGCCCGTTTGACATTATAATGTGTTTAATTCAGTTTTGTGCAACTCTCACAGAAACAAAACTTAAAACCGCATTGCTAATTTGCATAAACTAAGAGAAGATAAAACTACAGCTCTTGTGTCGCTGATGTGGTTCAATTTCTGTCGGATTAAAAGTACATGACTCAGGTGAATACAGGTTAGTGTGACCATATGTGCGTTTGTCAAAACCAGGACAGCGTACGGGGGGAGGGAGGTGGGGACTCGTCATCGACATTGTGCGACTCTCACCTGGCAAAACTTCTTCCCACTGGACACAGAAACATATGTGCTGCTTTATATACTGTGCACATGGACTCACACTTGTCCCAACCGGAACAGAAAGTGTGGATTTTCTTGTACAAATCATTGTTAAATCCACATTTGTGCTTCGGTACGTTGCAGACTGACCCACTGTTTCTGTCTCACTCCTTCTGATGCAGAGACACATGTACACACCTGTTTGGTCACACTACACACAGCAACCTACATTCTGTTTGTCGATTAAAATGAACATAATCGATGGAATTCTTAATGATACATTATCGATTAATCGATTAATCATGCCCATCCCTACTGGAGACACTGTTCCTTTGGCTGTAATATTCCACAGTATGACATAAACCTTATCTTCATAGAGAATGGAGTATGGTTTTAACTTTGTTTCCATGGAATCATACAGGTGACATGCCACTTCCAGAAAGTTACACACTGTATCTTTTAATTATGTGCATGAGAGAGGCTGAAACCGGCAACCCTCTGATTACTGGACAAACACTCAACCAAATGATTATAATAATATGAATCTATGACTAAGCTGTAAATACACTCATACACTCTTCTCATTAGTGAAATGACCATCTCCTCTCTCTCTCTTACAGATATTCCATTGAAGGATTCTTGGACAAAAACAAAGATCTGCTCTTTCAGGATTTCAAACGCCTCATGTTCAACAGGTGAAACATGTCAACATAAACTTAACTCCGTCCCTCAGGCTCTGCGCACATCAGAGGCTTCACCAGGCCCCGCCAGGCCCCGCCAGGCCCCGCCAGGCCCCGCCAGGCCCCGCCAGGCCCCGCCAGGCCCCGCCAGGCCCCGCCAGGCTCCACCAGGCCTTTTCCACAGTCATGTCAAGTCCATGAAGTCTTGGCACTGTCACTAAACCCTGACAGATCAGGGAGTGTCTGATACAAATACACATGCAAATACAAAAAGAGATGTCTTTGTGTTAGTGCTAATGCTAATATTAACTTTTATTAAAACGCAACATGTAACATAACAACAAAAATAACAAAAAAATGTTCTTATGTTGTTCCTCTGTCGCCCCCTTCAGTTCAAACTCTGTGCTGCAGCAGATGTGGCCTGACGGTCAGATGAGCATCACCGAGGTCACCAAACGCCCCCAGACCGCCGCCACGCTCTTCAAGAACTCCATCATCGCCCTGGTCCACAAACTCGCCTGCAAGGTCCTATACACACACTAAAACACACCCACATCAAAACACATACAAGGTCCCATACACACACAGCAAAAACACACACACACACCAAAACAAACGCAAGGTCCCACACACACACACACCAAATCATACGCAAGCTCAGATATACACACACAAAAACCACACAAGGTCCCATACACACACAGCAAAACACACACAAGGTCCCATACACACCAAAACACACACAAGGTCCAATACACACATAGCAAAACACACACAAGGTCCCATACACACCAAAACACACACAAGGTCCCATACACACATAGCAAAACACACACCAAAACACACACAAGGTCCCATACACACACAGCAAAACACACACAAGGTCCCATACACACCAAAAACACACACAAGGTCCCATACACACATAGCAAAACACACACCAAAACACACACAAGGTCCCATACACACACAGCAAAACACACACACCAAATCATACGCAAGCTCAGATATACACACACAAAAACACACAAGGTCCCATACACACACAGCAAAACACACAAGGTCCCATACACACCAAAACATACACAAGGTCCCATACACACACACCAATGCACAACACCTAAAAAGTCCAGGATCATGTAGAGTGGGTTAAATGAAGATGTAAAACTAAAAAGAGGAGATTGACAGTTACAGACAGAGGAGCTACAGTTTTTCAATAGAAAGTAAAGAGCCAGAGTCAGTGGAGCCATAAACTTGCACATGCTCACTTCCAATTGGGAATGTGACAGCCAGCGGGTCCATGTCCTTTTATATCTACAGTCCATGACCTGAGCCAGCATTTCTAGAGAGTGGTGACATCTGATTTTCTGCTCCACATTATTCAATTTACTTTAAAGCTGGACTGTGTAACTTTTTGGTGGAGGGTTAATCAAAGCTTTTCTTCAAGGAGAGTATTGCTTTTCTAGAATGTTTCTCAGTACTGAACCTTTCTATTTTCCTGGAGCCCAAACCAGACTAATGCTGGACGTACACTGTGTGATATTTTCGGTGGTTTCACTCAGCCCCAGCTCAAACTGCACGACCAAATCACAGCGTTTAAAGTTCACAGCTCGTGGAACTACTTCAACAGAAACCCTCACGAGAGGCAACTGGATTTCAAACAGGTTTGATATTCCTGTGACCTACGATTGCCGAGAGCGGGAGCTGGTCATGAGGTACTAATCAGTTCTCGTTAACCCATGTTTACCAAGCACCACACACGATTAAGACAAAACTCGGCCCAATCCCAAAACACACACACACAAGTGAAAAATCGGCTCAAAAAGGGCTAAAAGTCGCACAGTGTACACCTGGCTTTAGTTACAGGCAGTGTTGGGAAGGTGACTTTTAAAATGTATTCCCCTACAGATTACAGATTACATACCCCAAAATGTAGTTTGTAACGTAATCTATTAAATTACTTAAAGTGAGTAACGTAATCTGAATACTTTGGATTACTTGATTTGTAGAGAAGCAAAGACGAGGATACTTAACCGTATTAAAAATATTATTGATAGAAGAGGAGGAGACATGTCCACGCAGCATGATTTAGTCCTGTTAAATCTTGTTTTAGTCCTGGTTTAGATCTAGTTTAGACCTGGTTTTAGTCCTGGTTTAGTCCTGGTTTAGACCTGGTTTAAATCTAGTTTAGACCTGGTTTTAGTCCTGGTTTAGTCCTGGTTTAGACCTGGTTTTAGTCCTGATTTAGTCCTGGTTTAGACCTGGTTTAGTTTCCAGCAATGAGTGGAATTACCAAAAAAAATTAAAAATAAAAATAATAATAATAATAATAATAATAATAATAATTAGTGCTGTCATGCGATTAAAAAAATTTTGAGAGATTAATTAATTATGATCTGTAATTAATTAATCTAATTAATCTCATTTTAATCTCACCTAAAAATTGCTGAGAAAAGCCTTCAAGTTTGAGGTATTTTCATTTAAATTCATTATTACATTATTGTGGCAGATCAAAAGACTGATATAGAACAAAAAAAGTGACTTTATAAAGTCATTTATTGTTTAACAAATCTCTCCAAATTGGTCTGTTGAGCCCAAGTCTCCATGAATAAGAAACTGTTTGCTGTAAAGTAGCAAAGACGAGGAAATCTGAACATAATAACTTTTGTCTACTTAAAGACAATAAAAAGTCCAGTCTTTCCTTAACCATATTAAAAATATTATTGATAGAGAAATGCTTTATATATGAGATCACTGGTTTTAGTCCTGGTTTAGACCTGCTTTAGTCCTAGTTTAGTCCTGGTGTTAGTTCTGGTTTAGTCCTGGTTTAGACCTGGTTTAGACCTGGTTTTAGTTCTGGTTTTAGTTCTGGTTTAGTTCTGGTTTAGTCCTGGTTTAGACCTGGTTTAGTCCTGGACTGGATTAGTCCTGGTTTTAGTCTTGGTGTTAGTTCTGGTTTAGAGGCGCACAGGAGGAAGCTCGGTTTACGCCGCGTACGCGAGAAAACACGATCCACACGCGGCTCACGGGAGCACGTCGGTGTCCGCGCAGTAACTACGGAAGGAAACGTGGTCCGCGCGTTCTCAGGTTAATGACGATGATGAAGTGTGTGTGTGTTTGTGTGTGTGTTTGTGTGTGTTTGTGTGTGTTTGTGTGTGTGTGTGTGTGTGTGTGTGTGTGTGTGTGTGTGTGTGTGTGTGTTTGTGTATAGGACAGTAGTGCAGACATCATGAGTCTATGCAGGTTGTTTTCACCAATGACATTTAAATTGTAGCCGATATTATATTTGTTATTTTCTTTTATATTTCACGTCGGGAGAATAATTTGTGCACTGCTGGTTCTGTTCTACTGGCTCTTCCACCTCGTCCACTGTGCGACTGACGCCGCCAACGTGAACATGACGTTTACATCGCTCTTACTGCTCGCGTTTTGTGTGGGTTTCCGGCAATGAGTGGAATTACCAAAATAAAAAAATGTATAAATGTGTTTTGTGTGTGTGTTGTTGTCCCAACAACACATAAAAACAGGTTTTATAATAAAGCAACTCGCATACAGAAACAGTAAAGAGATTAAAAATGAGATTAACGCGATTAAAAAACATAACGCGCTAAATATGACTGTAATTAATTAATCGCAATTAACGCGATAATTTGACACCCCTAATAATAATAAAATAAAATAAAAATAATGTGAAAACAGGAAATTACCGCTGTGTAATCCATTTATTTCAACAAAGTAACTGTAATCCAATTACCACTCACTGAAACAGTAACTGTAACTGAATACAGTCACTCATAATTTGTACTCTGATTACTTAACTCCGGTACATGTAATCTGTTACTCCCCAGCAGTAGTTACAGGTCAGATCTGTGAAGAGGCGACTCCGCTTACAGTCAAAATAACAGTTTTTCTAGGTATTTTTGAGCCGTAAAACCACCTGTAATTGAATAAATATAAAGTACACACTGTGGAACTTTCCAGGCAGCGCAATGACATCTCCATAGAAACAAGCAAGTGACTGACCTCCAATCAAAACGTTACACAGTGCAGCTTTAAATCCCAGTTCAGCCCTAATATAGACTTGGTTTAGTTCTGCTCTAGTCCAGGTTTAGTTCTGGTTTAGGGAAGTTTTAAATGTGGATTCAGTCCCAATTTGATGTGCTGTTTTCCAACCGTGAAGTGAACACAACACTGATATTTGATGAGGAAACTTCATTCTACCAAACGACTCTTCACCAAACCAAGATATTTGACTTTCGTGTTCACTTTTCACGTTTTCTTCCACAGGAGCCTTACTACGTGCGCTGTATTAAACCCAACGAGGTCAAGTCCTCCGTGATCTTCGACGACGCTCGCTGCAAACACCAGGTGGCGTACTTGGGTCTGCTGGAGAACGTGATGGTGCGGAGAGCAGGGTTCGCCTACAGACAGCCCTACGAGAGGTTTCTGCAGAGGTCAGTGAGAAATATATGTGCGTGTGGTTTTATTGCCAAGAGAATTAGAACTGATCAGCACTAGCATTGTGTTTATATTTGATAGTTTCAGCAATTTTAGAATCAAAACTTCCATATGTGTCTGTTCTCAGGTATAAGGAGGTTTAGTTCTGACTTAGACCTGGTTTACTCTTGGTTTAGTTCTTGTTTGGTCCTGAGTTAGACCTTTCATTTTCAATCATGTATAAGAGCATACACTTAATCCTGGCTTAGTCCTGGTTTATTCCTGGTTTAGTTCTGGTTTAGTCCTGTTTTAATCCTGATTTAGACATTGTTTAATCCTGGTTTAGACCTGGTTCAGTCCTGGTTTACATCTTAGATCTCTCTCTTTGCGGGTATAAGATGAATTGTTGTTTAGTTTTGTTTTAGCCCTAGGTTAATCCTGATTTAGTCCTGGATTACTGGATTAGTTCAGTACTGCTTTAGTCCTGCTGTAGTCCTGTTTCAGTTCTGTTTTAGTCCTGTTTTAGTCCCGTTTTAGTCCTGTTTCAGTCCTGTTCCAGTCTTACTTTAGTCCCGTTTCAGTCCTGCTTTAGTCCTGTTTCAGTCCTGTTTCAGTCCTGCTTTAGTCCTGCTTTAATCCTGGTTCAGTCCTGTTTCAGTCCTGCTTTAATCCTGGTTCAGTCCTGTTTCAGTCCTGCTTTAGTCCTGTTTTAGTCCTGTTTCAGTCCTGCTTTAGTCCTGCTTTAATCCTGGTTCAGTCCTGTTTCAGTCCTGCTTTAATCCTGGTTCAGTCCTGCTTTAATCTGGTTTCAGTCTTGTTTCAGTCCTGCTTTAGTCCTGGTTCAGTCCTGTTTCAGTCCTGCTTTAATCTGGTTTCAGTCTTGTTTCAGTCCTGCTTTAGTCCTGTTTCAATCCTGTTTCAGTCCTGCTTTAGATCTGCTTTAATCCTGGTTCAGTCCTGTTTCAGTCCTGCTTTAGTCCTGCTTTAGTCCTGTTTCAGTCCTGTTTCAGTCCTGTTTAGTCCTGCTTTAGTCCTGTTTCAGTCCTGTTTCAGTCCTGTTTCAGTCCAGTTTCAGTCCTGTTTCAGTCCTGCTTAGTCCTGTTTAGTCTTGTTTCAGTCCAGTTTCAGTCCTGTTTCAGTCCTTCTTGCTCTTTCTTCTCAGGTATAAGATGACCTGTGAGTACACGTGGCCGAACCACCTGATGAGCAGTGACCGTGAGGCGGTGAAGGCCATCGTGTGTCAGCACGGCTTCGAGCAGGACGTGGAGTACGGAGCCACCAAACTGTTCGTGCGCTCTCCACGATCTCTCTTCAGTCTGGAGCAGGAGAGGAACCAGCTCATCCCCATACTCGTGCTCTTTCTGCAGAAGGTACTGAACCAGGACTCAACCAGGACTCAACCAGGACTCAACCAGGACTCAACCAGGACTCAACCAGGACTAAACCAGGACTAAACCAGGACTAAACAGGGACACAACCAGGACCGAACCAGGACTAAACCAGGACTAAACCAGGACTAAACCAGGACTCAACCAGGACTGAACCAGGACTAAACCAGGACTAAACCAGGACTCAACCAGGACTCAACCAGGACTCAACCAGGACTCAACCAGGACAGGACTAAACAGGGACACAACCAGGACCGAACCAGGACTAAACCAGGACTAAACCAGGACACAACCAGGACTGAACCAAGATTGAACCAGGACTAAACCAGGACTGAACCAGAACTAAACCAGGGCTAAACCAGGAGTAAACCAGGGCTAAACCAGGAGTAAACCAGGTCTAAACCAGGTCTAAACCAGGACTAAACCAGGACTGAACCAGGACTGAACCAGAACTAAACCAGGACTAAACCAAGATTGAACCAGGACTAAACCAGGACAGAACCAGGACTAAACCGGGACTAAAATAAGTCTAAACCGGAACTACATCAGGACTAAACAGGGATGAAACTAGGCCTAAACCAGAACTAGACCAGGACTAGATCAGGACTAAACCAGGACAAAACCAGGACTAGACCAGAACTAAACCAGGACTAAACCAGTACTGAAACAGGACTAAACCAGAACTAAAGCAGGACTGAACCAGGACTTAAACAGGACTAAACCAGAACTAAACCAGAACTATTGTAACTACTCTTTTAAAGAAGTGGTATAAATTCTTGCCTGTCAGTCCGGTTCCTTCAGATTGAAAATGAGTTCCCGTTAGGAGCCGTATCATCTCGATTTCAAAAACTTTTCTGCCACCAAAAGAAACGACGGTGAGAGCTGTAATTACCTCTGCACTGCCCCAGTTACAAACCCAGACCTCTGCAGAAAGACGAGTGTGTGACCGAGGCTCTAGTTCAGTCTGACTCAAAATGAGCCTCACAGTGAAACAAGTGGAAGTGACTTTTCAATCACACTTGGTTCTCTGGTTTGATTTGGGTCTTTCTAACCTGACCTGGTTTGGCTCACATTAAATCGCTGAATCATTATGCAGAGCAGGCGTCGTTTTCTTACAGGTGGAGTCTGCTGTGGAACTGTCAGATGCAGATTTGTTGACCTGGTTTATGGTTCATATCTGTAATTACTGGGCCTATCCACATGAAACAGAAACTGGCACAAAGTTCAGTGTCTTCTATAAAGTAGTGTCATATTACTTGAGATCGGTCTTGATCTCGAGACCATTTTTTACAGTCTCGGTCTTGTCTCGGACTTGAAGATGTTTGGACTCGGTCTTGTCTCGGTCTTGAAGGCGCTTGGACTCGGTCTTGTCTCGGTCTTGAAGGCGCTTGGACTCGGTCTTGTCTCGGTCTTGAAGGCGCACGGACTCGGTCTTGTCTCGGTCTTGAAGGCGCTTGGACTCGGTCTTGTCTCGGTCTTGAAGGCGCTTGGACTCGGTCTTGTCTCGGTCTTGAAGGCGCACGGACTCGGTCTTGTCTCGGTCTTGAAGGCGCTTGGACTCGGTCTTGTCTCGGTCTTGAAGGTCGCTTGGACTCGGTCTTGTCTCGGTCTTGAAGGCGCTTGGACTCGGTCTTGTCTCGGTCTTGAAGGAGCTTGGACTCGGTCTTGTCTCGGTCTTGAAGGCACTTGGACTGGGTCTTGTCTCGGTCTTGAAGGTCCTTGACTCGGTCTTGTCTCGGTCTTGAAGGCGCACGGACTCGGTCTTGTCTCGGTCTTGAAGGTGCTTGGACTCAGTCTTGTCTCGGTCTTGTCTCGGTTTTGTCTCGGTCTTGAAGGCGCTTGGACTCGGTCTTGTCTCGGTCTTGAAGGCGCTTGAACTCGGTCTTGTCTCATTCTTGAAGGCGCGTGGACTCTGTCTTGTCTCGGTCTTGAAGGTGCTTGGACTGGGTCTTGTCTCAGTTCAAGGTCTGACACTCGACGAGGTTGATCATATTTCATTACGGCCTCTGCTGTCGGCAATGAACTTCTTACCACGACATGTGACTGAAGTGTGCCTAATAAAAGTGCTCAAATGCATCTGTATTTATCACGACGTGCATTTGGTAAATGTGCAGAGGCTGGTAAATCTCACTGCAAAACCAGTAAGAGAATGTCAAACTTGAAAAAACAGGTTTAATCCCACCAACTTTCTTCACTTTCTTCAGTTTTCTGTAAAGTGCCAATGGAAGTTCTCTTAAAGAAGAGGTTTTTAAACTGTGGATGAGGGTCCATAAAAGGCTCTTTCATTGCAGTACAGTTTGCTTGGCTTATTTTATGCCTACATGAACATTTATAAGATCAAATAGAGATAGATTTATAAACACATTGATATATATGGGCCAAAATAACTGTAAAACACAAATAAATGTAGAAAATGACAAAATGATCTTGATTTGGTCTCGATGGGTCGTGATCTTGGTCTTGTCTCAGTCTCGGCCTTTAAAAGTCTTGGTTTTGTCTCGGTCTCGACCCTCAGAGGTCTTGATCTTGTCCTGGTCTCGGGATCCCGTGGTCTTGTATTGGTCTTGGTCTTGATTAGTGAGTCTGCTTGGTCTACAACACGACTGTAAAGTATAAAAAAAAGTTAAAGAGAAACAATTTTTTCACAATCGCTTCAGAAAGAGGTGCCATTATTCAACCCCAAAGATGTGATTGTCATCAGCTGAGACTGCTGAAAAATATTAAAGTGAAAATATTAAAATAACAAGTTTGTGGGGGAGATTCCAAACAAAGAATGAGATCGAGAAAAAATTGTGGATCAGAAGTTTGGAGATTTCTTTAAAAACAGTGAATTTCCTAAAGTTATACAGGCCCTTGCCCTCCATCGAAGTTTACAACTTCATCAATTTCTAGAACAGGTCTATTCACAAAATTTCTTGAAGGCCAGATTTTTTGGAGGGTCACGGACTCTGGGCTGAAAAAGTCCACAATGCGCCAACTCTTTAAACGCAATTTGGGGTCGTGCAAAATCCTCAACACTAAAGCTGTTTGTGCTTCTATAATAATAACTGCCATATTAGTTTTCTGTGAGAATAAAATACAAAAAGCTTCACCAACACCAACCAAACTGACTAGTACCAATGAGGTCTTAACCAGGACTATCTCAGACCAGGACTAAACCAGGACTAAACCAGGACTAACCCTCTGTGTGTGTGTTGTTCCTCAGGTGTGGCGTGGAGCTCTGGCCCGGATGCGCTGTCGTAGAATGAGGGCTATTTACTGCATCATGCGCTATTACAAACGCTACAAACTGAAGGCGCACTTCTGGGAGCTGGAGCGACTCTTCATGAACGTGCGGAGTATGAGCGACTACGGGCGGAGCTTAGTGTGGCCCGAGCCCCCGGCAGCTCTGAATCGATTCCACAATCTCACTGTCATCCTGTACAAGAGGTGAGAGCAGGACGTATACTCTACTGTAGGGACGGGCATTCGATGAAATTTTCTTAATCGATTCGTCGGAAGAATTAACGATCGATTATCGATGAATCATTAACGTTTTTTTATAGTAAAATGATCATCATTATTATTACTATCTGCACTACTAATCTGCAGAAATAAATTCAACTTTACGACATATAAACCGTAACCACTCTAGAGTCACATCAGCCCGTTTGACATTATAATGTGTTTAATTCAGATTTGTGCAACTCTCACAGAAATGAAACTTAAAACCACATCACTAATTTGCATAAACTAAGCAAAGATAAAACTCCAGCTCTTGTGTCACTGATGTGGTCAATTTCTGTTGAATTAAAAGACATGACTCAGGTGAATACAGGTTAGTGTGACCAGATTTACGTTTGTCAAAACCAGGACACCGTACGGGGGGAGGGAGGTGGGGACTCGTCATCCACATTGTGCGACTCTCACCTGGCAAAGATTTTTCCCACTGGACACAGAAACATATGTGCTGCTTTGTGCACATGGACTCACACTTGTCCCGAACACAACGGAAAGTGTGGAATTTCTTGTCCAAATCATCGTTAAATCACACATTTGTGCTTCGGTACGTTACAGACTGACCCACTGTTTGTGTCTCGCTCCTTCTGATGCAGAGACACATGTACACACCTGTTTGGTCACGATACACACAGCAACCTACATTCGGTTTGTCGATTAAAATTAACGTAATCGATGAAATTCTTAATGATCAATTATCGATTAATCAACTAATCATGCCCATCCCTACTCTACTGTAAAGCTGCACTGTGGGATATTTGTGATGGTGATGACATTACCTGCATGACTGCAAGGAGATTGAACGTTATGACCAAACTTTAAAGCATTCTCCAAGAGGATAGATCAGTTTTATGTTGTGTTATACTGTGGAACGTTCTAGGCAAAGCATTCATGGGTTTTAGCTTCTTCTTATACAACATTATCAGGACTTTTCACATTTCAAAAGATTGATTCTGTTGTTCATAGATACAACAACAGTGCTCATTTTTCATCAGTCTGAAAGTGGCAAAGGAGAAATTCAATTTGTCAGCTGGACAAAAGTGTACTTTGATCATTTACATTTTGCAGCTCATCCAAGCTGGTTCTTCAGTTGTGGTCAGAATGTTGATGGACACTGTCTTATATCTGCATGGACGGAGGACCAAACTGAACTTTTGTCCAGTTGACTAATTGAATTTCTCCTTTGCCATGGATTCTAACTGGACAACTGATAGTTTATACATATCATTCTGAAAACCAAGTTTCACTTCTCCATGGAGATAAGCAGGTACACTTCTTCAGTACTTTACATATATGAGAGTCTGGTCACTGGTGAATCTCTCAGAATTCAGATGGGCTTGATTAACAGATGGATTATCCAGAGACACACATGGTCTGTCCATGACAACACAAATATGGCTGTTTATTCCGGGCTCAGACCACAGCCTTTTCCCTTCATAAATGAACAGTTGTGGTGTGAACATGTGCTCTGTGTGCAAACTCTAAAAACACTGACAGGAGCAGCAGAGCTCTGGTCCTCTGTGAGGGTCACTGCAGGAAGACCACAGACTCTGACTGCCCCTGGTGCAGCTGCAGCTCAGAGGCATTATGAGGGAAAATAAGGGAACAAATATCACAGGGGACTGAAAAACATCAGTATTTCTCCAACTTGTAGCTCGGGAGCTACTGGTCGCTCTCCACCCCCTTCCAAGGAGCTCGCCAAATGATTTATGAAGTATACGTATTGTGCTGAAAAAGTCAAATTTGATTGCTTAAATGCCTCTCACCATTGTGCATGTATCATTTCAATGCCTATAGTTTGTGCATTAATAAATGGAAATGGTTTGTGTTTAATAGACATCTAACTGCACCTCATCTAAGACTCACCGTGACTCTCATAGACACTTCTTGTGACTGTTAGAACGAGTAGATCTCAGGCATTTTCGTTTTGTAAAAGTAGCTCATGAGAGGAAAACGGCTGGAGACTCCCTCTCTAAACTCTGATCATCTGAGGAAGAGAAGTTTGATTTTGTTCAAAATGATGGTGACCAATGAGCTCCTCCTTTTCACACGTGTCACTGAAATAAACACATCTGATTGGCTGGGTGTGTTTGGGCGAGGCTAGAGAACCAGACTGAGAACCCTCGTAGTAGATAGTAGTCTGGATTTACCAGGTCTCTGGAGAGGCCATCCCGCTCCGTGAAGAAGAGTGTGGTTTTTGTGTCTGTGCTTCCTCCTGTGTATTTCCTTATATATTGTATGTGTATTTCAGGTGGTGGGCTCGTCAGGTGGTTAAAAAGATCCCCCCCTCTGACATGCTGGAGGTTCGGTGTAAAGCAGCAGCGTGCTCGGCTCTGAGGAAGGAGAGGAAGGACTGGGGAGTGCCACGCGCCTGGGAGAGGGACTACCTCAGTAATGTAAGGAACTCTCTTCTACCTCCATTCTGTTGATACTTCATAATAGAGGTGTGCAAAAATATCAAAATATCTATATATATTATATCATTTAATGTGATGATACAGTATTGATATCGTGGGCTGCTGTATCGATATATCACCAAGAGTATTTGTTGTTATATTTTACTAAATTATTTTGTTACAGAGCTACAGTTTTGTTGTTTGTTCAGAGGAGGGAAACTCCTTTATGCGACACATTTGACATTTTGACTGTTTTGACGATTAAAATGTTTGTGTTTCATATGAACTTTGCTCAAGAAGCGGTTTAACAAAGACTTTATTTTTTACTGAACCATATCAAATGAATTTGAAATATATCATATTGAACAGAAAGTGCACTGTATCGAGGTATCGTATCTGCAGCTTCTTAATGATACCCAGTCCTACTTCACAGTGACATCATGCAGGGGTGTTGTCTGTTCTGACCTTCGCCTCAGTGTTTCAGGTTATTTAACTTAAAGTGGCACTGTGTAACTTTTCTGGTGAATGATCTGACTCGTGATTGTCTCCATGGAGATGTTAGTGCTTGACCTGGATTGTTTCATAGTTGGGATTAAACGTAGCTCCATGGCAAGCAGATGGTACCTCCAAGTAGGGCTGTCACAATAACCAACACGGTACTAAGAGGCCCACCGCGGTGCATGTTGAGACACGTGACCAACGTGACCCGACCCAGAGTCCTGCACGGGTCCATTTCTAGAGATCCGCACCCGCCCAGACCCGTTAACATTCCACCTGTTACCACCCGTGATAACCCAG